TCATTTACGTCTTTTGCAACACATTTGCAATTAATTGGTTTAAATAATATAAATAAATTTAAAAATAAAAATTGAACAAGAAAAATATTATTTAAAGAAGCCATTTAATTAATTTTTATTTCTAAAAAATATATTGATATGTATCACTTTTTCCCGTTATTTTATCAAAAAAAAATCGAAACCCAGGCTGAATTAGGTGAAGACAAGAGTCAATTGTGAATATAAGGAAGGAAGAATCAATGGGATTAAGAATACTTTTGTTCTAAAATAATGACGGGGTTCGAGTGGACGTCATGTGTTCTGGATCAGTGTTGGGACCAGTGATGGAAAAGTTCCAGTTCCGGAACCGATACAGTTCCAGAACTGTAACCGAAGAAATTCAAAGGCAGTTTCAAAACTGGAATCGGTTCCAAAGAAATTTTGGAACTTTTTCATCACTGGTTGGGACAGTTTACCCGAAACCAGATAGCCTTCTTTTTTGTACCCGAAGCCTAATTCAAAGAAGATTTTAAAAATCCGACACGCTACCCGTGTGTGTTTTTCATTACACGTTACAGCCCTGTTCGTGTTAGAGTATTAGAAACGTAATAAGGAGAAAGAAATGTAATTGTTTTATTATTTTAATTAAATGCTTAAAATGATAAGTATAGGTAAAAGCTTAAAAGCATTTTATATAAAATTTTATATAAAGAGCAATATGACTTTTGGGGGTTTTTCCATTTTACAAAGCAAAGATTTTTGAGTAAAATTAAGTATAGATCAGTATAAATTCGTACAAATAAGTACAAAAATTTGGGTAAAAGTTGATCGGTTATTCTTGAACAAATAAATTTTTATTTAAATAAACAATATTGGAATGCTAAATTTGGAAAATTAAAAGAAAAATAAAAGCCGATTTGTTTACTTACAAATTCACAAAAGGAATGCAAAAACAAAATAATATATTTTTTGTTGTTTGTTTTAATTTTAAAAAATTGATTTTGTAAAATTTAATAATTTTTTGAATTTTATAAAGCTTTTGGCTTTTCCCGATCAAAATATTAAAATAAAAAAATAGAAATTTTATTTGGATTTAGTATGGTACAGGGTTGCCGCGGGTACAAAAAATCTTCGGGTACGGGTTTCGGGTTGGAGCGTTTTCATTTCGGGTCACGGGTTTCGGGTTGGCAAAAATATCGGGTACGGGTATCGGTTTTCGGTTAAAAAAAGGCCGGGTTTCGGGTTTCGGGCGGCAACCCTGGTATGGTATAAGGTTGGCAGTTCCGGTTATCCGGAAATTTCCCAGGAACCGACATCCTTAGTATGGTATACTGAAGGCAAAATTTCGATAGGAACACTGAGTCACTCTCTATTCATGGAAATGCCCGTGAACAGAGATATAGGTCCCCGAAAATCGAAAACCATAGCGGGAGTAAACACATTGTTGGCAGAATTTCGGCTGCCTTCCATTACATTTATTTGATTGGTTTATATCAGATCATGTCTTTATAATTAGTCTCAAATTCCAACAGACCCCGACAAAAACCAACAAGGAATTTCCCGAAATTTCCGAAAATCGGGAATTCACGACGGTTTTTTGGACCGGGATCCCGATTTCCCGAAAATCGGAAATTGGAAAAAATTTGGGAATTCCCGATTTCCGAAGTCTGGAATGTATATCATTTCTAATACAAAAATCATAATTTTATTCATATATGTAAATTTACAATTTCTTAATCGACTGTAAGTCCCGATTTTTAGAATGAGAAAGAAGAAAAAAACGTCAAGTTAATTTTAGATAAAATTAAAAAAAGAAACAAATTTTTAAATACATTTTTAAAATTACAATTGAAATTGCCTTAAAAATGACAGAAAACATAAGTAATTACGGAAAATTTGATTATTTTATTCAACTCGTCGAGCTGAGTCCAACGACGTCAAAATTAGCCTGTTGACTCAACTGTGAGCCGAGATACAGTACTCCAAAATTGGACAAACCATAGGGGGAGCAAAGCTTATTTTTGGGGGAAGTCAAGTTAAATTTTTAGATGATTATTACGAAAATTAAAAAAATATATAATAGTTTAACAAAATTTTTTAAATTTATTTTTAAAATCAATTAATGAAACATATAGAGACGTCCGAGACCGAAAATTTTCTAAGACTCAAGACTAGACCCCAAGACCCAAGATTTGACCCCAAGACTCAAGACCAAAAATTAACAATACTTAAGACAATTTTTAGGTCCCATGGGTCAAATTTTTGGTTTAGTATTTTTTATTATTTTGACACGATCACAGCCAACTTCAGCACAATTACCTATAATTTAGAAAAATTTATGCGTTTCGAGGAATTTATTCGTCTACCGTATTTTCTTGATTACTTCCCCTGGGGAATTATTTTTTCAACCCTTCCTTGGCATGGGGATTTAATCGAGGGAGAGGAATTATTCGAGTTTTGGCATTTGAACGTGCAGTAAGGTATTTGGGGGTGGGTAATTATTGTTTCAACCCAACTCTAACATGGGGAATTCATCGAGAGGGGGGAATTCATCGAGAGGAGGAATTATTCATCGAGAGGGGGAATTAATCGAGAAAATACGGTATACATATTATTTCAGAGGATTTGGGTGGATTAACTCAAGACCAAGAGTCTCGGACGTCTCTAGAAACATATATTGTATCGACCAATTGACATAAATCTGCACTTCTTACATTTATTGTTTTTACAATAGAATCCATAACAGCATTGTTTATTCTTTTTATCATCACTATCGCAAACCCCGTGTTCCTTAATACAGTTGTAAGGTCGACACATGGAATTGCCGTCCCTATCAGTTTTACAGCTTAATCCTTTACAGCATTTTTTGTCTTTATTGTCACATCGATAATTATCCTTCTCTATACAGTTGTAAGGTCGACAAATGGAATAGCCGTCCTTAGTAGTTTTACAATTTAATCCTTTACAGCATTTATTGCCTAAATTGTCACAATAATAATAATTCTTCTCTATACAGCTGCTTTTTCTACATATACTAGTACCAAGATTCGAAAATCTACAAAAATAGCCAACATTAGTGCAACAATCATTATTGTCTACACAAGGATCATTTTCTCCACCTTTGAGACAAAAGCAATTATTTAATTTAAATAATAAAAATAAATTTAAAAATAAGAAAGGAATAAGAAAAATATTTTTTAAAGAAGCCATTTAATTAATTTTCTGAAAAATTTTATTTAAATTTCTGAAAGATTGCCTTGCATTTTGCCTTGTCCTCGAGGACTGAGACAATTAGTAATGTAATGCTTAAAGGTGTAATCCTTGAGGTGTAATCCTCTTAGGGAAAAGCGGCTTAGTTGATGTTCATTCCAACTTAGTTCCTATTCAATCAATGGCCTACTGTTTGGTCGGCCTAGAGCCTGACAAGTGGTATACCAACAATCATTCACTCCGCTCGCTTGCGCTACCTCTGGCAATTATTCACCGCACGCATTCCATCAACATCTTCTTTCTTAATTAGGGTGGGCCCCTCTAATTGAATAATTTACTGTAATCCTAAGGCTGTGCAGTAGGCGGCATGGTGTAATGGATAACACACATCAGCGCATTACGATCCATCCCAAAGGCCCTGGGTATAGAAAGGGATTGGAACCTTCACTTTTTAGATGTTTATTAAAATAATAAAATGTTATGTTTCGGTAAAGGTTTACAAGGATTTTAAATAAATTTCATAAAGAGAGTTTGTCTTTTACCAATTTACAGACTACAAAATTCTAGGTAGAAATCAGTACAAATTGGTAAAAATTCGTATATATTTGCATAAAAATTTGCTATAAAAGTTGGGGGTTTTCATTGAACAAATAAATTTTTAAGCAAATAAAGATTAATGGAAATTTAAATTTGGAAATCTAAATTTTATTTTAAATCAAAAAAGGAATGACAACGCTAAAAAATAAAATAATATTTTTTGTTTGTGTCAATTTAGAAAATTATTTTTGTGAAATTTCACAATTTTTGATTTTTTATAAAATTGAAATTTTATCTGTAAAGTTTCAATGTTACATTGTATGTATATGTCAGGGATCGCGCCGACCCGATTCACGATTCCCGAAAATCGTGAATTCCCGACGATTTTTGGCTCGTGAATTCACGATTCACGAAAATCGTGAATTCGAAATTCTCGTGAATTCACGTTCCCGATTCACGACATTTTTTCTAAAATCGGGAAAAAATCGGGAATTTTTATTAATTATTGGAGCTAAAAATGGAAGAAATCTGGTGACTTGGTCCTCAAAAATTCTCAAAATTTTCGCCTGCGGCGCTGAAAAAGGAAAAATCTGGTGACCTGCTCTTCAAAAATTCACAAATTTTTCGCCTACGGCGTTAAAAAAGGTATAAGTCTGGTGACTTGGCTTTCCGAAATTCTCAAAATTTTTGCCTACGGCGCAGAAAATTGAAGAAATCTGGCCTCTGGTCTTCAAAAATTCTTCAAATTTTCGTCTGCGGCGCTGAAAATGGAAGAAATCTGAATGCTTGAGCTCTAAATTTCAAAAAAATTTTGGCTGCGGCGCTGAAAATGGAATAATTATGAGGAGATCGAAACATTTAGAGATACCTCCAATCCTCCTTAATCCCACGGTATCATTCAATATTACCTTTAATCTTTTTACATATTTCCTAATCTTCTTGATACAGTTATAGTATCGCTTAAATATCCATCAGTTAATCAATTAAGAACCTCTAGTATGTACATCTAACACCTAGTAATTATTATACTTCTAATCCCCAAAAAAGGCAAAATTCCCGAATTCACGAAAATTCCCGAAAATCGTGAATTCCCGAAAATCGTGAATTCCCGACGATTTTTGGCTCGTGAATTCCCGATTCACGAAAATCGTGAATTCGAAATTCTCGTGAATTCACGATTCACGAAATTCGGGAATTTGATTTTCTGTCGGCGCGTTCCCTGGTATATGTAGTTTAACAGAAAATTTTTTAATTACTATAATTTATTTTTAAAATTAATAATAACAGATATGGTTAACTATAGAGCTGCACTTTACACATTTATTGTCTTGATAATGAAATCCATAACAGCATTGTTTATTCTTTGTAGCATCTATACCGCAAGCCCCACCATTATTAACACAATTGTAAGGTCGACAAATGGAATAGTCGTCCTTATCAGTTTTACAACTTAGTCCTTTACAGCATTTATTTTTTTGATTGTCACATCGGTAATTATTCTTCTCTAAACAGTTGCCATTTTCACATTTGCCACCACTATCATGTTTCGGAAACCGACAATACAATCCAGGACAGCAACCATTATTGCTTCCACAAGGCTTATCTTTTCCTCCTTTGAAAAGACAGAGGCAATTATTTAATTGAAATAATAAAAATAAATTTAAAAATAAGAAGGGAATAAGAAAAATATTTTTTGAGGCAGCCATTTAATTAATTTTCTGAAAATTCTGAAAATTTTATTTAAATTTCTTAAAGATAAAAAATCCAAAATTATTATTAAACAATTATTTATTAATAGAGATAGCCAAAACATGCAAATGCACGTTTTGTATGCGGATATGCATTGAGGTGGGAAGCACAAAAATGGTGTTTTTACACAGGTCCGAGCACTTTAGGACCCGGTTCTTAATGCATATTTTTGCATATTTCAGCGATTTTGTGCATATTATGGCAAATTTTGCATATTTGGGCATTTTTTCGAAAATTTTCTATGAAAATTTGTTAAAATTTTGAAATTTTTGGTTAAAAATTTTTTATAAAAATTGTTTGAAAAAATATCTGTGTAATTTTTTTGGGAAAAATTAAAAAAAAAATTTTTTGCATAAATTTTAGCTCCATTTAATCCTTTCGAAGTGCTCTTAAATGTAAAATTAAAGGATAAATAAGTGTTTTTAACTTAAAATTTTGATTTTTAAAGCATAGTTTAGCTATTTTTTCATATTTCAGTGCATATTTTGGGCTTTTTCGGTGCATATATATGCGCATATTTTGGCCGTCCTTACTTATTAATTTAATTCAATGTTATTAGAATGAAATTGGTAAATGTTTAGAAGTATTTTAAATAAAACTCTAAATTAAGAGTAAAATGTGTTTTGATTTTTGCTAATTTACAAACTACAGATTGCTAAATAAAAATTATTATTTCAGAGTAAAATTTGGTAAAAAAAAATTTAGCAAAAATAAATTTGGATAAAGTCTAGAGGTTTATCGTTGTACAAATAAATTTTTATTTAAAAAAATAATATTGGAAATCTAAATTTAGAGGGGTAAAAGAAAAATTAAATTTTTATTTTTATTTAGAATCATTAGAGGAATTCAGAATGCAAAACACAAAATGCAAAAAAAAATTCAAACTAATTTTCGAAATTATTTCTGCAAAATTTAATAGTTTTTGGATTTTTTATCTGATAAAAAAGCTGTACTTTCATCAGCATTAATTATTGGACTTTCACACTGATCTAACATAGAAGGATCCGAAAATCTGTCTCAATAGCATGAGTCGATGCCATTATAATAAAGCAGTTCTAAAGCTATTTTTCTCTCATTTAGCCAGTGCAAAAGGTTATTCAGCGGCTGGGAGCGAACCAGCATCTTCAGTAGATGGACTGGTGTGTTAGCCGTTACACCATGCCACCTACTGCATAGCCTTAGGAATTAAATAGCTATATGCTTTACAATATTTGAAATGAAACAGAGACATAGCCAAGGTTGTTCTTTCGTTCTGTCCAATTTTGTTCCGTTTAGCTTCCCTAATCTAGTTGGTAAATTATAATCGGACGATGAAAAATTATTTTTTATTTTTAAATACTGATTTAAAAAATATTTTAATTTAAAAAAAATTAATTTAAAAATTATTATTAATTTTTTAAATTTATTCTCTTTAATAATTTATTAATTTACATTTATAAGTACAATTTATAAAATTTTTATTACACGCAATACTTCATATTCTAAATTTAAGATACATTTTTAAAATAAATCTGGCCTTAAGAAGTGCTTGTAAAGACTTAAGTTAAGTGGCATTTTAATTGAATAAATTTTCTTCCGCCTTTCGCCGAATTCCGTCTTTTTGGGTCTTCCGCTTCCATCTTCCACCTCCGTTTTTTAAATCTCTTCCTTCGCTTCCGCCTTCCGTTTTCCGCTTTTTAAAATCCAAAATTATTCCACCCTGTAGTGCACCCCATTATGCAGCCGGACCTCACTTGTAAGATATCCTTTTTACTATACATACACTTTAACGGCATATCCTTTAGGTGTCGTAAATACTAGGGATATCTTACGATTTTTAAACTTTATCTTAAGATGTGTTTTATGTGTTTTTGTGTTTTTGTTTTTTATGTGTTTTTGCAAAAATTTAATAATTTTTGAATTTATTATTAGATAAAAGAGCCTTACTTAGTTTTGGACTTCCACATGGATCCATAAATATGTATATTTCAAGAGCATGATTCAGAAAGAGTTTGCAAAAGTTTAGCCACCGGGCAGGATTCGAACCTGTGACCACCTGCAAGTTGTTGCTAGGCACTTTCGCTCACCATATACAGGAGCTCTACCTCTGAGCTACCGGGGCATCGACTATTCCTTTCTCTTTTTCCTTTTTAGATCGTTTAACCCCCGCCTAAGCGTTTTAAATGCTGCTGGGTGAATCATCCTTACAATTTTATGCCAATATTTGATAATTATTAGAGATCGGATAAATCAAATACCAAACAATACAGACCAAATTTGATCATAAAATTTTTTGATCAGATTTTATTTGATTATATTTGACAAATATTTGTTTGACCACTTTTGGAAAAAACCAAATTTTTTCAAATACTTTCAGATATCAATAATCTCAGAGGCATAAGTCGAAATATTTGAAAAGAAACGGAGCTTGTTTTTTTTCGTCCTGTCCAATTTTGTTCAGTTTCCTTTCCCGAATCTACCAAGTTTGAAAATTATAATCTGACAATGAGATTTATTTTTTAATTTCCAAATACTGATTTAAAATATTTTTATTCCCTTTTAAGCTCAAAACACATTAATTTAAAAATTATTATTAATTTTTTTAAATTTATTCTCCTTAATAATTTATTAATTTGCAATCTATAAGTACAACTTATAAAATTTTTAGTACACGCAATACTTCATTTTCTAAATTTAAGATACATTTTTTAAATAAATCTGGCCGTATGTGAGGCTTGTCAAAGACCGAAGTTTAAGTTAAGTGGCATTTTAATTGCTTCCGTCTTACGCCGAATTCCGCCTTTTTGGGTCTTCTGCTTCCGTCTTTCATCTTCCGTTTTTTAAATCTCTTCCTTCTCTTCCGCCTTCCGTTTTCCGCTTTTTAAAATCCAAAATTATTCCACCCTGTAGTGCACCCCATTCTGCAGCCGGACCTCACTTGTAAGATATCCTTTTTACTATACATACACTTTAACGGCATATCCTTTTAGATGCCGTAAATACTAGGGATGTCTTACTATTTTTAAACTTTATCTTAAGATGTGGTTCAGCTCAGGGCTATACGCCAAAATTTTCGCGTGGCGCGCCAAACGCCAATTTTTCAAATTCTTAAAACACGCCAAACGCAAAATCGAGCAAAAATGGACACTAACGCCAAACGCCATAGCGCGCCCCCTGGTTCAGCTCTATTTATTTTTAAACTTGATTTCTTAAAATTTATTTTTAAAAACAAAACCCCATTAAGAATTTTTTTATCTCTTTTTGTTTTGCAAATTAAAATGAATACGTATTTTTTTTTGAATTTTTTTACGTAAAAAAATTTGACAATAAAAAATAATTGAAAAAAATAGTAATAAATAAAGCTAAGTCATAAAAACAAATTAAAATAAAAAAATATTTTAAGTAAATTTATATTTTAAACGATATTTGACATTTAAATAGTCCAACTTATACCTATAAATTAGACAAACTTTTAATTATTTTTTGTATAAACAATTTTAAGATAAACAGACAATTTTAGAGGGAAGATAATTTTGGGTTAAGCTAAAATTATTTTTAAAAATGTTGCTAGCTTATACTGCTTATTTTTTTACTCAAAATATTTTATTTATAACCATTATGTAACGTTAAAGATGTAGCGTCTCGAAGATTATAAAAGTAAAATCCTTTTGCTGGGGGGGGGGGGGGATTTTTTTCAAGCTTACAGGGTATTTTTCCAACTATACATAATAGCTTAGAATAAAAAAGTGATCCAAAATAGGATATTAGACATGGATAGGAATGGGTAGGAATAACCGAAGGAGTCGGAAATTGGAAGATAAGAAAGGGTCTCTCGATTAAATATTTACACATTTTGGCGTTAAAATACAGTAAGAGCGAGGTAAAAGTTCAATCCCGGGCAGTCTTCGATCATGCGACCTCCTGGCAGTTATGGCATGCGCTTTCGCTCACCACGTACAGGTGCTCTACCAACTGAGCTACCGGGCGCTGCTTTCATCTCTCTTTTAATCTTAACCCCCCCCCCCCCCCCCCCCCCCACCTAGTGAGCGTTTTAAATGCCTCTCTTCCTTAAGAGTCTGTTACTTACAATACCTATCTATAATTGTCCAGAATAATTTTTCAAGAAAATAAGGTATATCCTTGAATGCTTCTTTATACTTTTTTAAAATTTATAATGAAAAAATATTTTTTATCTTTATCTTTTTCCAATTTAAAAACTTTCTTTTTAGCCTCTTTAAATTTCCTGTTCTTTACTAACATAGAATCATTTCCATATCTTCCGGCTTTACCACCTTAGGTGCAAAAGCTATTTGATTCATAAAAGTATCAAATAAAACACAATAATTATTCAAATGTTGTGTTGAAAATTCTAATTGTTTTTCTTCACTAGTTACCAGTCCAAGTATACATTTATTTTCAGACTTGAAAAATCCAAAATTTTTAAAGAATATTTTCTTGATTTTTGAATAGGTGTGTATTTCAGTTAATTTAAAGCGGAGACACTGGTAAGAATAGAACATGCGATCCTTTGGCATTAGAATTGGGGGCCCGATCCGGCCCGGTCCGAAAGATCGAGTCGGGCATTGAATTTTGGCCCGAAAAAGACTCGGTCGGGGCGGCCTGAAAAAATATGAAGCCAAAAAAGACTCGGTAGAGCCGACCCGATGAAATTGAGACCCGAAAAAATGACTCGAACGTCGGCCCGACTCGAAAAAAATGAGGCCCAAAAAATGACTCGGTCGGGCGGCCCGATAAAAATTAGGCTCGAAAAAAATGACTCGAACGTCGGGCCGACTCGATAACCCCAACTCTAATTTGCACCTTCCCGCTAATTGACACAAATTTTTGGTACCTTCCTAACATTTTTTAAAATTTTTACTCATACTTTTCCATATACGATTGCGAGGGAGGGCACGAATTGAAACTGATACTGATCTTCCCCTGACGCTTAAATTTTTGACTAATATTTATTTACTTACACCATCCTCTGCTATATCCTTTCGAGAAATTAAGTGTAGTATTAGAATTTTTTAATTTTAAACCAATTGAATTTCCTTCAGATTTAATATCTCTACATTTTCCATTTAGATAATAAAAATATTTTTTATCATCAATTAAAGCATCCACAGCCTTTGCGATTTTTTGAATATTTTTAGAACTTCCTTTTATAGCCAAGTCTAAGTAATCGCGATAGAATTCAGTATTATTTCCAACATTTATAAGTGTTTCTCCTTTACTGTCAACGAGTTGATCAACAAAAATAACAATTTTATCCAAGCTTTGAGGCTTAATTTGTATAAATATAAAGGGCATAGTTCCATTCCCCCTCCCTCCCCCATAAGTCCGGAAGAAGTTTATGAGACTGCGGAGGAAGCCGGCCTTACGAGCAAACAATACTGTTACGAACGGCACTAGTCCAATATAAGGTCGAATATCTTTGTACGCCCCTATCGGCATCGAGTAAAGGTTATATCGAGAGATCAGGGGATATTTAAATGTGTTGATTAGTCGCGCCAGAAAAGTCTATTTCAATCATTTTTATGCAAAATTAGGGCTTGAGTCCATTCTGGCAATTTCCGGAAATTGGAATTTGAAAACGTGTTGGCGCAAGATTACTGGCAAATGGTGCATATTGGAATATCGAAAGCTCGCCCATTCAGTGGTTAGATTTAAGGATTTAAAGTCTAGTATTAGGTATATCTATAATGAAATTCGAAGTACATCCACCGAGCCCCGCCCCGAAAAATTGAACCCCAACCCTTCAAGCATTCGAGGTTCCAATATACTAGTTCCAATATAAGGTCGACTATAGTCATCGAATAAAAGTTATATAGAGAGATCAGGGGATATTCCAATAAATATGGTGATTGATTAATTTTTGATGTAAAATTACGGCTTGAGCACATTCTGGCAATTTCCATTTATCTGGCAATTTTCCATATAATTTGGAATAGGCGTGTTGGTGCCAAATTACTGGCAAATGGCGAATATTGGAATACTTGAAAGCTCCCCCTTCAGTGTCCCTCATTCAGTGAGGGACACTGAAGCCCCGCCCCGAAAAAATTGAAACCCAACCCCCCAAGGATTCGAGGTGCAACTATAATTTCACCCCGAATGCTTACAATGAGATAAAAAGGTAGATTGACTTACATCAAACATAGCATTAATTGGTGTACTCATCTGATCCAAATTGCAATAATTTTTAAAATATTTTTCTTCGTCATAACAAAAATCTAAGTAATACAAAATCTCATATCCACTGAACTCAATATCCTCATAGTAACCAACCAAAGCAAAATCAACAAAAAATTCCCCATTTAATTTCCTTGAAGTTAACTTGTCAGTTTTATTAAAATTAAATTTTCTTCCTCTTTTGGTTAAAATTTTTTTAATTTTTGAAATTTCAGGTTTTCGGCTTTCCAAATTTTTCGATTCAACAAAATTCCAATTTAAACAGAAAAATAAATAAATGGAAAAAAATAAAATTAGAGGGAAGGAAAATTTATTTTTAGTCAACATTTTTTGAATGATTTTTAATTTTTGATTTAATTTTTTGGGGTGAGTAGCCCATTTAAATAATAAATTTTAGACAGGAATTGGGAAGAAAATGATATCATTTTTATTTAAAAATTAAAAAAATGTTCTTTATCTATTCAATTCAATAATTATTTTAAGAGGGTAACTCCCTTCTTTAATAACCCACCCCCTCCCCCCCATTTTAATTTTTATTTGCCTACCGGATGTGTTTCTTTATAATTTCTTGGAAATAAATTTAATATAAAATTTAAGTAAATATTAAAATTTCAAAATTCTATTTTAATCTCTCTACATTATTTTTTTATTTCCTCTTATTTAATTATAGTGTGTTATGTATATAACAATTAATCTGGACTAGAGCCGAGACAAAAGCCGAGTCTTCTTACGCGGGCAGGCGAAAATTTAGAAAATTGGAGAAGGTTCTCATCGAGAAATATAAAGTTAAAGTATAAATTGTTTAATTTATTTGGGAAAAAATGATTATATGGAAAAGTACATAATGGGAAAATTTTCAAAAAATACAATTTAAAAAATTTATTTTACCTTACGCCTCTTCAATTTCTCTTCCCAATGAGCCTTTGGCTCTTTAGATTACATGTACAATTGAAATTTTTTCATTTTTTAAACTTAAAATTTTTTAAAACTTATTTTCGGTTAATTAAATAGGGTACACCCCAACCTACCGCGAGCCTAACGTACCGCCGAGGCTATAACTTCGTTCAAAATTGTCGAATCTGAGACAACTTGGTATGTTTGGATTCAGCTCATTGAGGCGTATTGAACCATCCAAGGCTTCCTGGATTCGACAAGTCTGAAAGAAGTTATAGCCTCGGCGGTAGATTGCGCTGCGGTAGGTTGGTCTGCTCCTAATTAAATGCCAAAAAACCTTTAAAATTTTTAAAGGTATTATTTGACATTTAAACAGTCTACTTTAACTATTTAACTATATATTAAACAATATAGTATAATTAAATTTATATAAGATATGTGTTTTATTATCTAGATATTAAACAGTAATTTTAGAGGGAAGATAATTTTGGGTTATTCAAAATAATTTTTTTAAATGTTGCTAGAAAATGGTGTTTTATTTTTTTATGCTTTGATGCAAAAAATATTTTAATTATAAATCTTTAAAAATGGAATCTTCAAAAATAGAATTTATTTAACGTAGATAATTACCTAATAACATAATTACCTATATTCTAATTCAAAATTTGAATTTTTAAAAATCATAAATTTGAAGTGTCGCCTTAACATCTCCCCCACCCAGCAAGTAGCTAATCAAATTTAAAAATGTGTCTTAAATAGAGGTGTGTCTAAAAACTTAAAGTTAAACCTCTCTAATATACTCCCTAGGACCTTTAGCTGACATGCGAAGGAAGGTAAATTGAGAGGGAATCAGAGGTGAATCTGAAATGACGAAGGTGCCGGAAATCGAGAGGGTATCAGAGGCGAGGGGAATCAGAGGTGAGAGGGAATCAGAGTGAATAGCAAATGACGAAGGTGCCAGAAATCGGAACTGTCGGAAATTGCTCAAAAGTCGGAACTCGGAAATCGGAAATTTTTCCAAATTTTCCGAAGAAATTTTTTCAAATTTTCGGAACTCGGAAATCGGAAGGAAAAAACGTCGGAATTCCGAATTCCGATTCACCTCTGGAGGGAACATATTAAAGGCAAATTAAAGGTAGAGTATATCCCTAAAGAATTTACCCTCATATTCTAATTTAAAAAATTGGCTTTTTAAAATTTAATTTTAGAACTAAAATGATAATTGATGCTGATGTTCAAAATAATTATTATAATGTATTTTCGGGGTTTTTCTGTTCAATCTGTGCAATATTTCTGATAATTCTGATTCGTCCTTTATATTATTTTTCAAAGGAAAGAAAGGCTCTTCTTATTCTTTTTAGCAAGGTAGGGGTCTTTTTTGGATTGTTTTTGTGTATGTCAGTGGAGTTTAAGCTCGGGATTGGTTTCCGAACTTAATTTTGGGACTATTCGACTTTTAGATCCCTTTTCGATTTTCTCCTTAGTATAAACAATGGTCGGTCAAATCAGATGTCGTACTCTTTCTTTTAATCAAATAATTACCATGGGTAATTATTGTTTCACCCCTAACTAGACAAGGTAATTAATCGAGAGAGGGCAATTATTGTAAGGCCCTCGCCTAGGCTTAAAAACGATCTAAAAGAATAAGAGAAAGCATTAGTCGATGCCCCGGTAGAGTTCAGTGGTAGAGCTCCTGTATAGGTGGTAGAGCGGTAGAGCTCCTGTGGCAGAGGTCTCTAAATGCTACCAATAAGCATCCTTAAATTAAAATCAAAAAAATTTCTAAAATAATTTATTCAAGTCTTGTGCCAATATAATATACCAAATTCGACAAATCTATGTTTGTATTTATCAATATTTTTCTTTTTCGTCGTCTTACTGGAGTTATTTCTTTCTGGCTCCCAGTGCAACTGTGCTTCTCAATGCTGCTTATTTTCATATTATTGGGCTGGCTATAAATCGTTTCCATGCAGTTTTCTTTCCTTTAAGCTATCAAAAATATTGGAAATTGAAGTAAACTTTAAAAATATTCTAAAACGAAAATATTTGTGGACATATATTTGCGGACAGATATTTGTGGACAGATATTTGTGGAATATTTGGAACAAGAAAACTTAGTCTTTTGATTCTTGGGATCTAAGACCGCTGGATGTTAGGGAGGAACCTCTATTTATTTTACAAGCACTCTTCTGTTTTATAAAAGTAGATACATTCCAAACAGTCCTAACAACTACTAGATATTCCACTAAAAATGAAACTCTCAATTACCGGCACTAATTAACCGATATCTTGATGAAAATTCAACTGGGAGTTGCTCTCTTTGGCCTCCCGATCCCGACTTCCGAAGTCATTCCCCGACCCGACTCACGTTTCCCGGGTTTTTTCTTCTCCCGAGCATCACTAGAACACACCCACTCGAGCAGGATTGTGCAGACTAAGGTTGATGGGTCCTGCTATCACGATCCGAAATAAAACCGGATATCTGGAAATTTTCGGTTCGGATATCGGATCCGATATACGAAGATTTCCTAGGATCCACCAACTTTGGTGCAGACGTATTAAACAAGATAAAATTTTCAGAAATATTAAATACTTTATTTGTTTAACATGGCTTGTAGTACTTATTTGGAGTACTGTACAATATGTTGCATTTCTTCTGGACTTTGCAAATACTGGAATTTTAGGGTTAGAATTTTTTGGCAGAAAAAAATTACTTGATTAATTACCCTGGGTAATTATTGTTCAGCTTTGAACTTGACCCCCGGTGCTTCCGGGTAGAAAGGCTCGAGGTAGCAATTTTTGTGTGAGACTTCCGGAGTTGGATGTTAGCCAAAGGTCAGGGTCGGGGTCCAACTATATTTAAACCTCTCGCTATTCGACGAGGTCAATTACTCGAGGGGGACAAGGGATGATAATTAATCAAGCTAATCGTCAGAAAATTATTTGTTAAAAATTTAATTACTAATAGCATTCTCATTAACAAAATTTTGATGGATCATGATCAAGCTTTACTCTTAGCAATTTGTATATCAGCACCTTTATATTTGGCTATATTAACTAAATTTATTTATGATTATAGTAGGTTTATTTATTATCTCTTATATTGTCAAACAGACGGGAAGCATGGAGCGATGGTTTGCCAACAAGGGCAGTATTCTAAAAACGTGATTATTTTTAATAGCGGCTAGATGCAGCTGCAAAATTAATCCATAAATAAATTAATCCGCAATTTTAATCAACAAATAAATACACAATTTTACGCAATCCTTTGTTAAGTCCAGCCCTGGTTCCGAAATTTTTGCTTGACATGGCTCCTCTAAAAATACCTCACATTTCCACTGCTCCCATGGCTCCCGGACAAAACGTCAGTGGTCAATCTTTAAGTGACGTATATCGGAGGATTATGAAATATTTGGAGTGATTTAGGGGGACATTGGACTGGTAGTCCACTGACGCAATTCCGGACACGCCTCCCATACTCTCAAAATATAAAATTAAAAAAAAACTAAAAATTTTTAAACTCCTCAGAATACAAAAAAGTAGGAGTCGATGTACAACTACAAAAAGACCGAATTCTCATTTTAATCGTCTTCACCTCAAGTTTAATTCCCTGCCCTGTTCAGATAGCTATATATCAAGCAAGTTTATACGTAAACACCAATATGGAAAACACCTTAACTGCAGTGATATTTAATATTCTCTATAATCTTGGCTATACCTTAATTCAATTTATTGAAGAAATTTGTTTACTTTTTGCTTCAAAAGAATTTAAAAAATTGGTTTTGACGCAATTTTTTAAAAATAATAATCAAACAAGTGTGGTTAAAACTATTGTTGTTAAACCTTATGAACAGCAAGATGCAAAATTGAATAATAAAAATAAGAATGGGAATCTTGTAGCAGTTAATTAATTGAATAAAGAAAATTTGTTGGAAGAATTTTACTTTATTTTTAATTGTACAGCAAAGATCAAGCCGTCTCGGTTTCCGATAGATTTTTCGACAAATCCGACAAAGTTTTTTGGATCGGGAACAAAGGTGAGCTCCTGATCGGGAATTACCTTCTAATTAAGATGGACTGAACGAGGATAGTTTTTCATTTTCATTTTCCCCTTACTTTCCCCCTTATTCCCTTACATTTCCCTCTATTTAACTTTTAAATACAACACACCTCTACCTCCCGTTTCCCTTCGACTCCCCGTTTTTGTTTCCACATTAACCCAAATTCAAATCTCGATGGCTTCTTGCTCGAGACCGAATTTTGCAGCTGCACAAAAAACGTAATTTTGGGTGCACCATCGAGATTTGACTTTATTTTTGTTTTTTAAATTATTGTATTAATGAAAGAATAAAGTTTATTTGTTGTTCTATTTTTGGTTAATATATTTTTAACTCTCTAACTAAATACTGATGAAACTAAGGCATAATTTATAAAATTATTTATTTATTGAAATAAAAAAATTTTTAATTTAAAAAACCAGAAATTTTGTTAGTAATTTGCTAAAGAAATATACAAATAAGATAAAGAAAAATATAATTTTTTACAAAATTTTTTATACAAAAATTCATAGTTTAATAATATCCCCATATTCTTCATATTCATCTTCCCTTGGATCATATTTTAATTTTGCAACAAAACTTGAAACACCGGAACAAAATGAACGGTTATTGTTGGATGGTTCAATAATATTGTTGTTAAAAGATAAAGGGTTTTCTATGTTTTGTCTGATTCCTAAAATATTAGAAAAATTTTAGTTAAAGGACCGGTGTTAAATTAAAATATTTTGTTTTTAAAGGCGCGCCCATACGCCAAAATGACTCTAACTATTCAGAAATGTTTAGTAAAAATCAGAACTTTAAGCGAACATTCATAATTTTAAAAACATCAAAATTCAGAATTCCGAAGATTTAAATAAACATTTCGGGATCATCAGAATAATCAGAATTTTAAAAGAACATTTCTGAAATAATCAGAATATTTACTAAACATTTCGGGAAAACCAGAATTTTTGATAAACATTTCTGGAAAAATCAGAAGGTTTACTGAACATTTCAAAATTGAGGATAAACATCAATAACCAGAATTTTAAATAAACATTTCCGGAAAAACAGAATTTTTGATAAACATTTCCGAAAAATCAGAATTTTTACTAAACATTTCTGAAATAATCAGAATATTTACTAAACATTTTTGGAAAACCAGAATTTTTACTAAACATCTCATAATTCTGATAAATTTTAATAATCAGAATTTTAAACAAACATTTCTGAAATTTTACTCTTACCTGCTATTTTCATTCCTCTTTCATTTGTTTCAACAATTATTCCTCCTCTTAATCTCCTATTGTTTTTACTGATACTAATATTATTTCTATTCTCATTTTTATTAAATTTTTTCATTTTAAGATCATTTTTCGTTTGTTGTGAAATAAAGCACCATTCACAATTTTGAATTTTATGAATTTTTATTGTTGAATTTTCGTTGTTTGTTATTGATAAAAAATATTTATATAATTTTGATATCCAGGTTGTTATGACGTAAAAGAGAGGAAGAAAGAAGAAAATTGCAAAAAGAAGGCTAAAAATAAATTTTTTAAATTTATTTTTTAAATAAATTCGAGAAAACCTTAACGAACTGCAAACAACAAGGAAAATTCCGACCTTTAAAAATTAAATTAATTTTATTAAAGTTTTGACATATCAGAATTTTAAACAAACATATCAGAAGTCTAAATAAACATATCAGAATTATAAAAATCAGAATTTTAAAAACATCAGACTTTTAAATAAATATCAGAATTCTAAGCAAACATTCAGAATGTTAGAAATCAGAATTTTAAACAAACATCATAATTTTAAAAATCAGAATCCTAAACAAACATATCAGAATTTGAAATAAACATATCAGAATTTTAAACGAACATTCAGAATTAGACAAAAAAACAGAATTTTAAAAATCAGAATTTCAAACAAACATCAGAATTTTCAAACCCAGAATTTCAAACAAACATTATAATTTTAAAAATCAGAATTTTAAACAAACATCAGAATTTCAATGACAAAAAATTCACATATAAACCCTATTAAAAATTTTCTACTACTTGAAAAAACGCATGTGTCTCAGCAAAAAGCATCACAGCACCGGCAAGAATACTCGAGACAGTTGACATTAAAATAGGCCTAATTGCTCCACGAATTGCCATTTGTAAAGCATGTTTTGGACAAACTTTGAGTATTTTTTAATTAAAAAAATTTCAATTTAACCACCTTTAGACGGCATTGTAGCCCCAAAATGGAGTGTATAATCAAATGAGAGGCCAACAACGACAACGAGAATAACTGCTTCTAAAACTCCAATCTCCCAACCTTTAAAATTTAATTTTAAAATTATTTTTAAAAATTAAACCAAGCAAAAGTAACATTCCAAGGGTGCAACATACAATACTAACGATTGTTAGAGTTGCATAAATTGAGTTTAGACTTAAAAAATAATTAAAAAAAATTTTTAAGGCATTTTTAGAGAGATTTGAATGGGATAAATAGTCAATTAATAAGACTTTGCTAGATTTTACAAATTTGGAAAGAAAAGAAATTTTCTTGAGATTGCCAGAAGACGAGGTCTCCTTCAAGACCCATAGGCTTACAAGGTCAAAATTTTCCAAAATATCTCGAATCCTGTTCAATCCCCAAGTCTTATTTCTATCAAAACTCTACCGTACCTACAGTCAATTAGGCAATAAGACTTTAATAGATATTAAAGTTAGGAGGGGAAAAATTTTTTGAGGATTGCCAGAAGACGAGATCTTTTTCAAAAACCTATAGGCTACCAAGGCCAAAAATTTTTTTAAATATCTCGAATCTCGTTCAATCCTCAAGTCCTATTTCTATCAAAACTCTACCGTAGCATAACAGCAGAAAATAGGAGCACAACAAGTAAAGAAACAATAAAGGATTGTTTACAGTCTTCAATTATTGAACGTTGTAAATCAAACCATTGGGATATTACTTGGAAAAATTTGAAAAAATTTTTCAAAATTTTTAAACGTTAAAATACCTCCCCATTCAGTTGTATACCATCCCTTTAATGAACCTTCGTTTCCATCAATTATAGGCCTTATTGTTTGGTCTATTAATTCAAAAGAAGCGGATAAATTGGCAAAACGATGAGAATAAATTAATTTGTTAGGTAATAATGCCTAAAATTTTAATTTTAAGAATTTTACTTTCAATACGGCCCTATTAAATTTATATATGCACGACGTTACACTATTATATTAAAAAGTTATGAGTGGCACATTAAGGCTTTTAACTAAAATCTTACTAATATAGAATGTAACACACCTTCAGAGTATCCGGATCCGAAAAAACGACCGGATATTCGGTAATTTTCGGTTTGGACACTAGATCCGAATATCCGAAGATTTCTAACTATCCGACAACGGCTCTTGTCCAGTTTATGCGTCCCATGAAAGTATATGCGTCCCATCAACAAAAAATTGGATATTTCTTGGTGTTGCAAAGTAGGGGTATGGTTCCAAAGCATTTCTTCATGTTCGGGATCTACGCCCACTGGGCCTGAGACTTTTCCTTGCCCTATACCTCGAAATTTCTGAAAGTTAAAATCGTTTTTCTGAAATTTTTAAAAATTGGCTATAACTTTCAGAAATTTCGAAGGATAGGGTAAGGAACGGTCCCAGACCCAGTGGACCTAGATCCCGAACATGAAGAAATACTGTGGAACCATACCCCTACTTTGCAACACCAAGAAATATCCAATTTTTTGTTGATGGGACGCATCTACTTTCATGGGACGCATAAACTGGACAAGAGCCCCGACAACCTCACTTCAGAGTTTCATTAATTCTACTCCTCCTCTCCAAAAATTAGAGGATATAAATAAAGTCAAATCTCGATAAGAAGTCTATGTCGGAACCGATTTGAGCCGACGTAATAAGGAAAGACAAGCTATAGGTGTCAAATCTGGTTAAAACAAATACCTCGGGACCAAACTGACCAGACTATTAAGGAGAGATAGAGGTGCTAGCGGGTAGACTTGCTATCAAGCTGACTCTGACTATAGATAACTCTAGAGTGAGTAATTTTTTTCTAGTGACTCTTAGATGACTCTTTCAAAAAACAGATTAACAAACAGTATATCCAACAAGTTTGTGAGTTTGTCTATCCCAAATTAAAGTATCATTATAGCCTGTTGGAAGTATTGTTGTTGAAAGACGAATACAATGATCAAAAATAGACGGAGAGACTGGGGCAATTCGATTCCCAAATAATTTACAGCAATGAGAGGAGGTAGAAATTGAGGTTGAATTACAAGCTGTAGAAGATGTCCATTCAATAAATCTAATAGGAGAATGAGGAAAAAAAATTTTTGAAAATTATTTTTTTGGTTCTCAGAATTCAAAAATTAATATCTCCACCTTTCCGGCCAAAATTTGTCACCAACTGGAAGATTTGAAAAATTCAACTTTTGAAGTCGTGAAATTTGGTGTGCTAATGCTTGCAACTAGAAAATGATCATTTTAAATGATCAAATAATTTTTAAAAATTTTTAAATTAAATTAGAGCCAGGCTAGGGGGGTCAATCGTTGCTTTTTCGATTACCGTATTTTCTCGATTAATTCCCCATGCTAGAGTTGGGTTGAAACAATAATTCCCCACCCCCAAATACCCTACTGCACGTTCAAATGCCAAAACTCGAATAATTCCCCTCCCTCGATTAATTCCCCATGACAAGGAAGGGTTGAAAAAATAATTCCCCAGAGGAATTAATCGAGTAAATACGGTAAATCAAAATAATTTTTAAAATTAAATTAAGGCCAGGCTAGAGAGGTCAATCGTTGCTTTTCCGATTAACCCAAATCAAGCCAGCGCTAAATTTCAATCTAAAAAATTTTTTCTACTTGAGCAGGCGTGTCCATCTTAAAATTTTTTAAATCAATTTTCAGCAATTCTTTTTGTTGATTCTCAGAATTTGGATCAAAATAATTAGACAAAGATGTATCATTGTTGTTAATTAGTTGAATGCCCCATACAAGGCGAATTGAGAAGGGTAATTCACCTATTTTATCAGCAATAAAAGGGTAGAGTTGTTCGGCATTCTGTCAAAAAATTGAATTTATTATTCGTTAATAGAAAATCTGCCTAAGCAATACCCTCCAATATCATATACAATTTATTTAAAATACCTCCAATTATACCCAAGGGAAGGGCCAAAAAGTGTCATATCGTATAGTGAGGATAAATTATAATTTGGTGGAATCTCTCAATAACGACATCCCCCTTAGGTTACTTTAATTTTATATTATAATTCGGCCCGAAGGGTTTTTTTTATAGATGCCTAAGACTCATGGTCATGAGCCTTGATTTACAAGATTTACTTGTTTTTTGGGGTGCCTTTAAGCGCAGTCTTAATTTTTGGAAAATTTTCGGTCTCGAACAGCTCTGGGCTTTTAGCCTGGTTAGACTCCCTCACTACTTTACTTCTGATCTCAGCAAAATCAGTACTAAATAAATATTTTAAAAAATTCTTAAGACCACACCTGATCATAAAATTCATGAGTATTAGACGCTCTAAATAATTGTAGTGGATTATAACGAGGTAGAGACAATTGAGTGCAAATTAAATAAATATTGACTTAAATTAAATTTTAATTTAATTTCAAAAATTTCCAATTTACTTCCAAAAAATATAAACAAAGATCCGAGCCATACAAATCTTCCTTGAATTAATACTGAAGGCAATATATCGTCCAAAACGAGACGATTAAAATGTCTATAACGTTCTAGCCAATTTGTTGGGAATTTAAATAAGAGTGGAGAACAACGAGTATTTTGGTGCTGTTGGCTTTAAATGTAGGGGAAATTTAGAAATAAAGTTGGAAAAGAAACTTTTGTTTAACCCCTTCAAGAGGAGGAGAAGTGCCAGAATATCCTCCGCCTATACCCGAAAAGCAATACCAACAACGACTTGGCCACCAACGGACAAACCTAATTGATATAATATTTTTAAATTAGAACTTGGAGGGACTAAGAACATTTTAGGTTGATAGACCGGGTTGTTGCCGGGTTGAGGAGTTGAGGTTGAGGTATTTTTAAAGCCAGGTTGAGGTGAGGAGTTGAGGAGAGGGTTTAAGGAGAGGGGTTGAGGTGAGGATCTTTGAGGCCAGGTTGAGGAGAGGGATGAGGAAAGAGGTTGAAGAGAGGTTGAGGAGGAGTTGAGGAGAGGGGTTGAGGATGGGTTGAGGGGAGGTATCTTTGTGGCCAGGTTGAGGATGGGGGTTGAGGAGAGGGGTTGAAGGTTTCCTCAACCAAGAGGCTTTTTTATTCCTCAACCAAAGGTTTCCTCAATCCTCAACCAAGAGGCCGGGTTGAGGAAAAAGTCTCGAAACTTAGAAATTTTCTTTGGCTCGAATTTCGCATAGACCAAGTCCGAGGTTTTAAAGTATTATTTGGGTAACTCTCGCCCCGTTCTTGATACAGCTATCAAAAAATTTTATTTTTGATGGGATATCTATTTATTTTTTGGTATTTTCAACCTCGTTGAATTTAATTCAAAAGGAAAAAATTTTTAGAATTAAAATAATTTCAAAAATAATTTTTTAACAAGTTCACCAAGGATTAAGCCAACGACTCTGTAAAACTAAAAATGCCGGAAGGAAGGTCACAAGCAAAAAATAATTGAAAATTAACGTTAATCCAGCAAATAAACCAAAACTACTTAAAATTAAACAAAAAAATTAAATTAATTTAATTAAAAACACACCGAAAGGCATAAACACTCGAAAATAAATTTAACATGAAAGGAATAACTGTTGAGAATTGTGTTAAAAACATTGTTTTTGCTATATGTTTTAATGCTTTATTTAATGTTGTTGGTGTAAGCCTTTCTGGGGCAGGAAAAACATCCAACAAAAGAAACGCCCCATCAGAACCAACAGAAATTAGCAGAACAAAAGAAATTAAATTTAATTCTGGTATTTCTGACTAAAAAATAAAAGGAAATTCTGAAAAAGTTTTTTTAATTCTGAAAAAAGTTTATTTTTCGAAATTCTGAAAACGTTTATTTATTTTATTAATTCCGAAAAAGTTTATTTTTTTAAAAATTCTGAAAAAGCTTATTTATTTTATAAATTCTAAAAAAAGTTTATTTTTCGAAATTCTGAAAAAGTTTATTTTTTATTAATTCCTAAAAAGTTTATTTTTTTAAAAATTCTGAAAAAGGTTTAATTTTTTATAAATTCTGGAAAAGTTTATTTATTTAAAAAATTCTGAAAATGTTTATTTTTTTGAAAAATTTCTGAAAAAGTTTATTTTTCAAAAATTCTGAAAATGTTTATTTTTTTTTTAATTCTGAAAAAGTTTATTTTTTAAAAAATTCTGAAAAAGTTTATTTTTTAGTTTCTGA